AAAAATTTACATATTCACAAAATAAAAATATTTCTTTTACCGAAAACGAAATTACTAGGACATAGACCACTTTTTTTTTAGCACATTTGTTATTTCCGTATTGTAAATACTTATTATTACAATAGTGTTTTTTCTGTGTTGCTAAAGCCATTATTAAATTGATTGGCATTCGAAATCGATATAGAATTGTTTCCCTATAAATTATTCAGAAGTATTATAATCTATAAATCTGTGATAAAGCTATAATTGCCACGTATATTTGGAATAAAATAATAACAATTTAATAGGGACAAGATAAACATTGTAAGCAGTAATACCTCAACTGGAGCGAACATGCCACGAGTAACTACGTAGCAACAAGCCCGTGTCGAAATAAACGGCTAGTAATATATTTGATATAAGAATCTGATAATCGAATTAATCTCTTACATGCAACTTAATTAAGGTAGTCGGTTATAACAGTGTATAATTTGCGTCGAATGTGTATCTTCGTAGTTTGTTAGCGATGACTCATACTAGTACCTACACTGAAACAAGCACGTGATATTGTTTGATTTCATAATGGCGACTAAATACGGGTTTAGTGGTAATGGTTAAACAAAAACTAGTTAAATTGCTGCCTTGTTATGGTCTTATCGAGTTGAGTTTTTGTGTTAATATAATTATACTGTTACATATAAGTTTATTCTTGCCATGATAGTAAAAAAATGTGGGAATCAATAGATTGTATAAAAATATATTTTATTAGTGTTATAATCTATTAAAAGATACGATCAGTGTATTAATAAAAGTCATATGGTAACAGTTAGTTTAAGTTGTTTGCTCTTCCTCGGTTATCACAGTGTATAGAACAAATATTTGTCCCGCTTAATCGTAGTGTGGTCTTAGACCCCATACATGGAATTAATATGGACACCTTTGAAGCATGGTGTGATATTTGCCAGTTTCTCCGCTTCCGTTCAATAAACAAATTGACTGAAGAACCTTTTATAGCTGTGATATCTTAGAATTATTAATGTGTCTTAGTTTATATGTATTTGTTATTAATTATCAATTTGTTCATAATAATAATATATTTAAAAAAATTACTGTAAAATTAATTCGTATCTAAAACTAGCAACGGCGTATCGCCATCATCAAATGAATAACAAGATTAGTACCAAAATGTGTACTTAAAATAAACGAGCTTTCATGACTACAATAATCACTTAGCTGTTATCTGTAATCATAATTCTCATCAAAACAAGCTTCTAATTGACCAACGGTTCCCATCCTCGTTATTGTCTGGAAATTATTTTTTTATATATTTTCTTACATTCAATAACGATAATTTAAATTGTCACTATATAAAATATATTCTTATTCAAAAACTATATAAATAATTTATGCAGCGTTAAATAGATAACAAACACATTTTAGATATAACTTATCTAAATATGACAAGCTATTTAAATATTTTACATAGCATTCAAATATAATTTGATACTATTGGTGCAGAGCTGAACCACAAATCAATATCATTATATATTCATATATATGGTAAGGTGTGAGTTGAGGCGGCTCGTTGAACTCTTCAGTACGCGCGGGCGGTGCTGTTATTGCCGAGTTATGTTTTTTCTCTTGCCTCTAACGAGATTCTATGTTCAAATATCGAGGTAGTTTCTGGCCGCACATTACACGCTCTAGGATATTAAAATGAGACAAATTTATTGCTGTTCTCCGATTATACGTTCGATAAACGCCGAGACCGTTGATTATGATATCTCGGCAGTCTAATCGTACCATCGATACAGAGTCGCGTTCTATTTTACACTGAACCAGTACTAATAAAAATGAAACTCGTTACCGATGTCGTGTTTTCGTTGGTTCGTATAGGAAAATCAACAAGGTGCCGAGACGATCTAGAGTCGGAACCGCGGTGCGTTATCGGACAGATCGGTTCGAACAATGCATCGAATGTTTCAATATAAAACGGACAGCATTTTTAACGTTTCATCGGCGATGCAACAATCGTAAAATAAATTCTCTACGCCTTCTCAGAGCTCTGATTAATGTTTTACACGGCGCGGCGTCGCGTTTATTTTTTCACCTCGGTGTTATTCTCTAGTTTAATTTATGATTCCCGGCTGGGATGCTGCGTATGCCTCACTACTTGTATCTGTGATTCCATATTGTTTGATCATAGATATGGAAAGTTTACACGTTATCGGAATTGTCAAGTCTCTCTTGTGATGTCGTTTGTTCTCTAGATTATAATATTAATATTGTGTATGTAAAAAAGTTAATAAATCTTTGATATGCATTCTACTGAATATATATATAAATGCAAAGCAAAAACTTACTCTAATTCTGCAGAGAAACGATTGCTAAAGTCGTTCATATTTAATTTTTTTTAATATTTGTTATTGGTGATGTTAAATGAATATTAATCGTAAACATATGTATTGTTTGAACTTTATATGACATAAATAATAAGACTTAAATTATTTCAATTAAATCCAAACAAGACATATCAATTTGATAGCTTCTTACTTTTTTTTTTAAGATTACTATTCATATTGAAATAAAATTCTATTAACACCCAATAACTACTTTGCATTTGACAACAATCAATATGAATAGCAGCACGACGTGGTTAGAGTGGCTTTCGAAGTAAATAAGAAATATATATCTCATGTTTTTAAATATCTAGTATGTACCTTATTCGCCGTAAGAAAGTTGTTTTGATATATCAAACTTATTGTTAAGAAATATAAATATAATTAGAAATATAAATATTTTTTTCTATATATATTTTTTTATAAATATAAATCACAAATCTATATGATAGTCTCCCATAAGTATTTTTTTATTTCTTTACTAGATATGGTCTTTTTATCTCTATGACATTTTTTTTGGTAACCAAAAGTTTAATAAATCTCGTGTGGAACTTATATGAATGTATGAATATATGTGCATAAACTTTAAAATATGCCCTACATATGTAATAAATCAATTCAATACAAAATATTAATTCTCTTTTTAAAAATTGCAAGCAATGCTAGAAATAATTTACTATAATAAAAAATAATACAGTAACGAAGTGGATTATCATTCTTAATTTTATTCAGGACGGCTTTAATTTTAGTAATTTCTACGAAGTAATCTGTACATCAAAGAACAAACGTTGAGTTTTTGCCAGCTCGTCTAAATAGAAAAAAATAACTGGTGGTTGCTCTCTATTGGACGGCCCATTTTGGCATCTGCTTAGGATTAGGATATTTTAAAGGATTAGAAAAGGCTTTAAAATGTTTTTTAAATAGAATATGTCTGATTGAATTTGATTTAGATGGCCCCAATAGAATTTGAAAAGTTTTAAATCAAGAACTTTAACACAAAATAAAATGTTATTAAATATAGCTGGTAATTTATGATTTATATGGATCATTGCACTTATTGTAGAGTACGTACTTCAAAAGTTAATTTTTATCAAAAATAATAAATGTCAAACTATAAATTTCTCACTATTCCTTATCAAGAGAGAAAAATAAACTATTCATCACTTTCTCGGATTTATTTATAAAAGCTTTTTGTTCAGCATTAAATTTATATAATGAAATAATAAAATATCAAAAGTAATTAAGAGCCGCAGTGCTATAATCATTGTTACAATTTCTGTAACGTTTTGTGCGAATGCCGCTGTTGTTTTTAATTTGAATGTTTAATTTCATAATAGTTTGTGTGTAAATAGTATTTGCTTAAAATATTTTTTCAAATATTGTTATATTCGTAGTTAATGTAATTAAATTAATACTTTATATTATATCCATAGATGAATGTACTTATTATTTTTGTTATGCAAACGATCATTCAAATTATGTGGAGTATTACACTGCAATAATGTATACAACATTACATTCTCCTTACGTGTGAATCGTATGAAGTAATAGGAATGGAATTTAGAGTTTTTTAATTCTGATATTACATCAAAGCTCGTAATAACCTACAGTCTATCCTATATTACAATCCTTAGCGAAACTCATATTTGCATCGATGAATAAAACCACGCGGCTCTTTTGTTCTCTCCAGTTGTTTCACACCTCCTTAGGGCTGTGGGATCGGGCTCGTTAACTGAGATTGAAGGCTCGGTCGATGCCCGAGTATACACAACATACATAAAAAACCTGATATGCAATATGCTTGCCTATAGGAGCTCGTTTAAATAACTCAACCTACCTCGTATTCTTGACTTGACTATTATTACCTGTGAAACCTAGGGGTAGTGAGCTTAGAAAAGAATGTTATTTGTGCTCTATATTATATCGGAATAATATCGGCAATATACTTCAATTGTAATTTTTATGTTGTAGTATTTTCAAAAGATAATGAATTTATGAAGAGACTAAATTTTTAATAATGTTATGAGATGTATGAAAGTTTTATTTAACAATGATTTCTTTGAATTCTTTCGAAGTTAAATAAACTAATTTATTTTAAAGAAAGTTTATTTGTTTACCCATTAGCGACATTCCTATTTTGTGTTTCAGAATGACTGTAAAAAAAGTCAGTTTTCTAAAAATCTTATTTTATTTTCAGTATCACTTTTGACAAAGTCAATTTTTGAATTTATACAATAAATATGATCTTTTTATAATAAATTTACAAAATATACACTAGTGGACTATTTACTAATTTAACTATTATTAATTTATCACAGTTTGTGGCAAAAGGCCATTTTAGCTATAATTAATTAATGGTTTAATAGATTTCTCCCATAAGCACAGCCTTAATAGGCCTAACAGTTTATACAAACATAATGCGTATCAATAATTTTTAACAGCTACATTTTTGTGTTTATACTAACAATATTTACAAAGTTCTGAGAGACCTTCATTTGATAATAGGATACAATTTACAATACATACGATAACAGACTAGCCATTTGATTTCACACAACAGTCACTGAAATTGTACTGTCACTGAAGTCTTTTTCACAATACCGCACTACACATAACACACCACTACACATGGGCGGAAAGATTCCGTGGGGACGCTCTTGGTGGAAATTGAGCGTGTGACGGGTGAGGGGGTAACATTTGATGGGGACCATGAGGTGGCGGAGGCAATGCCCCTAGATGGTTTCTTGGTAAATGTGGTCTATGCACCGGCACGGCACCTGGGCCCGGACTCGGCATACTCCGGCACCTTTGTTTATCAGAAACATCTGGCAAAGCAAATTTTAGTTTTTCCCAGAACAAATTTTCACCCCAATTTAAATAAGTGTTACTTTTAAGGTACAATCTAATTTCAGTATCTAGTTGCTTCAACGGTATATTATCCTTCCGGATCACGATAAGCCTTTTCCGGCGGTCTCTTAAAAGTTGAAGATATGCTGATTTAAATTCAACATGATTCCATTCTGAATTCATAAAATTTTCACTGAGCACCATAATAGTACGACGTGAAGATTCCACTGCTTGAATTATACTTTGTGGTGTTATATAACCGCCGCCTGGTAAATCACGATAATGCAGATATAATTTGTATTGTGGATTGCCTGACTCTAGTACCAGGGCAAGTTTATCAGTCACCCATGCTTCATCTTTGGAACTATAGCTTACGAATGCATCGAATAGATTTTCTTCACGGTCTACGTTAGTATAAAATAACCGTACTCCAAATTTCGAATGAACCCACACTCGCAATTCTTGTCTGTATTTAAAAATAACTATAACGGTTATAATGAGAAATAGAGAAGCCCCTGCAGTCGCTAGAAGAAATGGAATGTAATCAGGAACATCTTCATTGGTTATAATTGTTTTTGTTGCTGTTAAGTTGCCGTTGATACTATTATCAATACTTGGTAATCCAGTACATATAGTACCATTTTCTTCTATTATTTTAAATCCTGAGTTTGGATCATCATATATGCTTTCGTTATGCACTGCAATATCTGTGTTGTTCGTTTTAGTATAAATGCACCGAACGTTCGATAGATCCATGATACTTGAGGATACTCGTTTTGTCCATTCACGGAATATTTCTGTGTATTCGCAATCGCAAGACCAAGGGTTAAACGAAAGCGTAATGGAGGTTATAGCGGGATTTATTTGCCAGACAGTTAGTGATACCAGTCTGTTATGTGAGAGGTATAATATTTTTAATTTTGCCATGTGATTAAACATATCCTTACCAATTGTTTTTATTTTATTATTATTAAGATAAAGTTCTTTTAAATTATCCAATCCATCAAATTCTTGTCCTTCGACGATTGTTAATAAGTTGAAGTCAAGATGTAAAACTTCCAGTTCTTTTAATCCATTGAACGTTCTGTTGTGAATAGTTTCAATGTGTGATGAATTTAAATATAAAACTTTAAGGCGTTTTCTACCAATAAATGCATGACTTGGTAGCATTTTAATATCATTACCGTCGAGGTATAACTGAGTGGCTTCCATGGGTATTCTTTCTGGCAGTGAGTTAACGTATCCCGAGTTAGAACATTCTACAACATTAGCGGACCATGACTGATCATGGTAACAAGTGCAGTTATTTGGGCAAGTCATTTCGCAATCACACGCATCAAAATCACAACAATGGCATAGTGCGAAGCAATGAAAGTCATATTTACAAAGAAATTGGTGTGATGCTGCTTCAACTAAAGGCACATATGAGTTTCCACGATTATAAAGTAATTTGCAATATATGCTGTCCAAGTCCATTAACTTAGGCTGTGTCCTTGCTCTGTTTCCAGTATTTATTTTTTGTAACCATTCCATTGTACAATCACATTCTAATGGGTTCCCGCCAATGAAAAACTCGGGTACAGATTTATCCTGTGGCACAGCTGATATTCTAAGAGAGTTAGGGTCTAAACTTGTTATTTTATTTCCATATAAATCTACTCTTGTCAGATTAGGCTTCTTGAAAAATGTATAAGACTGTACTTTTGAGATTAAATTATCGTTCAAGTACAACATTTCTACTGAATTAGGTATCGCACTTCCTGTTATTTCTGAAAGTCTATTAGAACTGGCATCAAACGTGCTAAGAGAAAGTTGAGATTCAATTTCAAAGTAATTTCCAAGTTCAGCAATTCGGTTGGCATGAATGTCCAGCCACTGTAATCCTGTTGGAATCATAGCGTAGTCAAACCATTCAAGTCGGTTATCGGAAATGTTCAGCCATACAAGATTGGGTAATTTTGCAAAAAGACCGCCTATATCGGTCAAGTAGTTCCCATCTAATCTTATAGCTTGTAAATTTATGTTATTGTCAAAAGCTCCTGATTCAATCTTATGAATTTTATTTCTGGACAGGTTTAAAATTTTAAGTGAAGTCATTTTATCAAAAACACCTTTGCTTATGTTGCCAATGTTGTTTTCGGTTAATCTTAACCCGTACATTTGTTGCATTGTCATAAAAGATGCATTTTCTATACTGACGATTAAATTCTCTCCTAAATCTAAAGTCTTCAATTGAGGTATTTCTTTTAATGCTATAGGAACTTCATCCAGTCTATTAACATTTATATGTAAATCTTGTAAGGAGGTACAATTACGTAGAGCATGTGGATGTATCTTTGAAATGCGGTTACTGTCAATTGACAATACAGATAAAACAGGTAAACCGATAAAAGCGTAGCTTTCAATATTTGTCAGCCTGTTATTAGATAATATCAAAGTATGTAGATTCTGAAGGGAAATAAACACGTTTTCAGGTATGTGTTCAATAAAATTATCTTGCAATTTGAGAATCTGAAGGTTATGCAGATCTCTAAACAATGCTATTTCCATTTTTGACACTCTGTTGTGTGATATATCCAAGTAAACAAGTCGTTTCAGACCCGAAAATGTAGAAGTATTTATCCAATCAGATGTCAATTCATTATATGACAGATCTAAGACTAAAAGTTGTAAAAGATCACTAAATAATCCTGGAGCAAGTACTGTAATTGTGTTATTGTTGAGATAAATTTCTTTTAATTCCTTAGTATCGCTAAATAGCTCCGGAGGTAAACTAGTAAGTTGATTATCCGAAAATCTTATTTTTGTCAATGATATCAGTCCTTCCAAAGCCCTGTCTGCTACAGAGTTCAGCCCATTTCCTTGAAGATAGAATTTTTGTAGTCGTCTTAATCCCGAAAGCAGTCCTGGTGGTAATGTATCAATTACATTTTTAGATAAGTCTAAGACTAAAATATTTTCCCCACATTTTTCATTCGGATGACGATGTGCAGTTGAAAATTGAAAATGGCTCACATCTCTCATTCTGTTACCAGTCATATTTAAATATTCAAGATTTCTTAAAGAGCATAGAGATCCCTCAGGAAACGACAACATATTATTTTCGCTTAAATCCAGGCGCTCCAAATTTTGAACATCTCTGGAAAAGGCTGTTGGCGTTATTTCTAGCGACATTGAAGACCAGTCTGTATTATGTGTTCTTATAGTCAAATTTCTTAATTCACGAAGGCCAGTGAAGGCACCATCAGAGAGATTGCCTATTTTACAATATTCAATCGTAAGTTCTCTCAATTCCACTAACTGACGAAAACTAGCCGGTGCAAGAGAGCTTTGGAAAAAGAGCGCATCACTACACTCCAGTCGTAAACGGACAGTAAGATGTGGTTGAATAGCACTAAAGTTAGTATTTTCTAATTCACTATTTATAGTTCTTAATCTACACTGTAACGCAACTCCAGCGTCTTCCTCGTCAGTTGTCCATCGACATTCGTCTGGAGCTTGGTATCGAGTTCCTGTGGTTGCTGACAGCGAAGCACTCCATACCGGTAAAACAGCGCTAAGCGCTAATAAAGCGCTTGTAATCCACATAGGACACATTGTATTTTCCTTTCACTATATTTCACTTAAACTTGAACATACTATTTGTGATTTACACTTAAATTGCACATTATAGCGTTTTTATATATTTGAAAATGGAAAAGCGCACAAGATTACCCGGACACTCAACTCTTATTCCGCGAAAGCACTAATTGGACAAGATCGTGCCCACCACTTGCTAATAACTTACGCGAAGCGCTCACTCGCGCCGACGTCTGGGGTGGAACTGACTTCAAATCAAACCTGCGCTGCGCTCGCGCACAAGGCCGTGCCGGTTCACGCGTTCCAACAGGTAAATCTTTGCCCGGGGCAAAAACGTTCTAACCGCCTGGTATATTGCTATATCTCTCGCTCTATCCACTTAACGAACTTGTTTGACAGAAACGACTACACTCACTTTACACACACATAGAATTTGATATACAACAACCAGGGTATGAAACCGCTTTTTGTGACGCTCGTTCATGCTTTATTAGAAAGGGACGGAGCGAGATAGAATGCTAGCGGGGTAAGCGTGTAATACTTGGTGGGGAAGCCAGCTGCCCAGGTAAGATCGCTAGCGCATTGTCGAGGTCGCCGCGTAGGAGCATGGTATTCAAATAATTGTTGACGACGGAAGTTTTTCGAAATATGTCGTGTTCGATGTCATGAATAGTTGAATTACACATAATGGAATTAGGTCATATTAGGTCATAATACATTGTACCTTTAATATATTAACTTATATTTACACTTGATTAATATAAGGGAATTGTTACCAAATATAAAAATAAATAAGAAAACATCTTTGAAATATGTTTCAACACTCTTTTAAAGCTAGGTATAGACGAATGTATATGACAAAATATTTTTAATCGGCAAGAATTAGAATGGTTTTGAATGCCGTTTGTTTTTATAAAATATAAATGCTAATAATACATTATTTGCTGGGCAAACCAAATTGCAAATTCTAAGAATGCAAACCCTCATCCCATTTTATTCAACTTAAGCGATTTCGATATAATTTCTCACCATCTTCTACTACCAACCTATCATCAAATTAAACGGTTAGACATTACGTGTTTTAGGAAGGCTCTAATTTTTAAATAAAACGTTTGATTAAATAACGTTGGCCTAAATTTTTTTATCAGAAACTAGAATGATTTTCTTATTGTTTATTTTATATTAAAATTATATATTAAAAATATAGGTATATTATTAATAATCTTTTAAAAATAGAGTTTTTAATGTTTATAAAATATGAGTGTGCCTTGTTTGTAAAACAAGGTTTGCACCTTTCCTTATGTAAACAGCAAATGGCTTTGTAATGGGAACAGCGTCCTTCGTATGTATAACGCCGTTTCAATATATCACATGAGGTCCTATGGGTCGTTTGTCCGGATCGCTTCTTGAGACTACAAAAGATCAGCGGGTGATCTTTTGACTTTTTGTAGTAAGTGGAGAGGCGTAGCGTGTATTTTATTAAATAATAGATTGCCGGTAAATCGTGGTTCATTGTTGGCAGTTTAACGTGCCTTGGATGGCTGTTATCCATAGATCGTTATAAAAGTATCTGTATTCAATTTACTATGGTTCAAATCATCATGAATCTGACAGAGGCTAGCGTATTGGAGATCACTTTATGAGGAAGCACTTGTGAACTGTATTTGTTCATACAATTGTTTAAATTAATTTAAAGTATAAAAACTTTCGCAACGTAATTTTTATATATAAATAGCATGAAATAAGTTATAATCATAATAACGTAATGAAATACATAGTTTTATTAAATAAATCTACTAATCAATGTGTTAAAACACGACACAAAACTTGTCCAGAATTTGAACAATTCATTTGTGTAACAATAATGACTCATTTTGTCTTATGTTGCATCATCAAGTATAAAACGTTCCCCTGGTCGACTTCCATTATGTTATTAATTTTTGTAATTTCGGTACCTTATCTCCAAGGACGGGTCCGATACCGAAGCGACACTTATCTCTATGTCATTGGACACGTATAATCCATTAAGTCGTCATTTCCACGCGACTGATCATTCCTCACCCGTCAAAGCTGCCTTTGAAGGAAGTGAGATGTGTTGTTAGCTACTGGCACATCCTCCACGAAAAAAGCTATTTTAAATCTAAATTAATATTAATAATGTTGAATTAAATGTCCTTACCTTTAATAACCGATCCGGGCCCACATTGAAATGCACTGATTTTAGAACATATTCAGTTTTATTAAATAATGAATCACAAGATAATTTCATATTAATTTGTGCAAGTATTACAGCATTATTTTTTGTTTCAGGTAATTTCAGTCGTGAGGCTGATGGCAAAATCACATTAATGTGTCATTAAGAAATATATTGCAAGAATACTAGGTAAGATTAAGTTAACTTATAACGTAGGTATCTAGGGCATCCAGAATGATTAATGTCATCCACACAACATTGAGTAAGTCAACTTTTCTCACTACAAAATGATATGATTTATCAGCAACTGATTACTTAATCCCTGTTTATCACTGTCATTCGGACATTATCTGAATAAGGATAACCATTGTTGTAATGTCTATCAATTTGGTAATACATTAATAAAGCTGTTCAAGCTTAATCCTAAATTTCTTGATGTTAACTACGGCAATTAAGAAGTAACTTTAACATTGCGTATATAATTTATTATCATATTACTTAAGAATAAAAATTATGGCAAAGTGCAAAAAAAATTATTGTTGATATTCGACATATGTTTTATGGCGCAGAAGTTTGTGACAATAACAAATTTTTGCATCGATGCCATATAAGTGCAACAGATTTTAACATTGACAATTTGGCGCGTGAGAGCAGAGGGCGCAATACACTGGGCACCTGGTCCTACAACAGCATATTGTTGGACAGAGATAGGAATAGAGTATAGCGTAGGTAAAAAATAAATTTTTAACGTATTCAATTCAAAAATCAGAATAAACCACTATTATAATGTAGATAAAAAATGTTACACGTAAAATTATAAATGTATATAGTACATCTCAAAATTAAAAATATAATTTGAAAAAAAACCTAAGATATGGAATAAATAATGTTAATAAAACTTACACAACTATTCGACTCCATTCCGTCCAGGAGGATAGCAGCGTGCCGACGAATGGGACTGGTTAGATTACGCATTGGTGTGACACAATTAGAAACTGTCGCAACCACCGACTATCGCCCCGTGCTCACTTTGTTATTAACAAACAATCGCCTCTACAACGCGCACTGCAACCTATTGCATCTGCAAATTTTGGTCAATTCAAACTGTAAGATTTATATTCTTGAATTGGCTCGAAACATTTTTTTTATAATAATGTAGATACTTTATGTTACTAGTACTTACCATGCGTTTACATTACATTACATAATTTAATTTAAAAATATTATTCAAGGTTTTGATTTTAAACGAGTTTCGCAACGTAATCGGCATATGTTAATATTTTTTCTTGTAATTGACTGGCAAATTTCTTTGACGGGTTGTGAGTATGATTCACATTGTCTACATTGAATGGATCGATGGTTGGTGCTGACTAATGATGTATGATTGATTGAGCGGCTCATGCGCTGAGGTGTCTTATACTTAAGAAAGGTTAAGAAAGTTTTTTATATCGTGAATTTTATTTGACACTTTTTAGTTGACCGTTCCTCACATTTTTTTAAAAACGTTTAAATCACGAACGCAACCAGGTAGTTGATATAAAATTTTATTCATTTAAATAAAATTATTGCTCTCTTATTTACTAAGGTTGGAGACTTGGATACTTACATTAAAATATATGTAAGTTGTTTATCAGAGTGGCTCAGGTGAATTAATCTTTCGCAGTTTCAAACTAGGCAATGAGCTACCCGCTACAGATACATATAATTAAAGCTGGAAATAGGAATTCATTCCACAATTGCTATCCAATGTTATCGGGTACTCTGCTTGTGCGTCACGTAGAAACTTATACCACATTTGCGGCAAAATTATAAACGCTAGAAGCTTATTGTGTAGAATTTCATATAAAGGCCGAAGGACCCTGTGGAGCGGTACGTGTTCTTGCTGAGAAAAATACAAGCATCTTAGAAATTTCAATTGCAACCTTTTGTTATGTTCGCGCACCTCTCCAATTTGTTCGTTTGTGCCGTCAATGCGTGTAGATAAAATCAACCATTTAACTGCGCTTCTTGATTAAATTCTTTCTGCTCCCTGAGTTGTGGGGGCTTTGTTTTTGTTCTAGGTTTCATAAATAAAGTCGTGATTATTGACGGTTAAATGAGATGTTTATGTGTGTACAAAAATAACTTAAAATGGTTTAATATGAAGTGACAAACAATGTACGTTTTATATATTTAGTTAAAAATATATATAAAGCAATTTCTTTATCGCAATTCCTTCACGATTTCGTAAATATTTATATCACAGGTATATAAGTCACAATAATGCACACCCGTTAAAGATTAATATAATACTTTTATGGTCGAACACAAACAGATCGTTGGCCTAATGAAATATGGCAACGTGTTCTTCTTTACTGATAAAATTTCCAGTGTCGGTGTTTTATTGCTGCCCAAGCCAGATAATTCAAGACGGCCAGCGGAATAATTTACGTGGTGGCCCTTCACGGCTTAGGCACTGCTACCGCGTTTTTACAGTTCGTTGTTTTATCATTTCTATGAGATAAGGCATATATTTGGTTTATTTTCTTAAACCGGTACCTACTACATGTATCCGGTTTTATTGTAAAAGCATCCAAGCAACAATCTTTCTTGTCTACTGATGAACCAATACGCAAAAAGGAGCGTTGGTCAGACATGAGTTTTTATTTTATTGTTAATAAATTGTTAACTATGTTGACCACATTTCTAATAATAGAATATTTTAACCAATGAATACTTTTTTCTTCGAACACTAAAATTGCACGTCAATCATACGTTGATATTACAAAGGCTTTTCTATTATTGAACGTAACACATTCATAGTGAATATAACAGCGCTTTGACC